ATAAATCAGGAAGATGGAACTCCCCCATGATGAGACTTTGTGTCCTTATAAGAGGAAAAGAGCTAGAAATACACCCCTCCACCATGTACTCATCTATAAACTACAAAACGGGTCTCCACAAAGAATCCAAGTATGTTGATACTCTGTCTCCAACTTTGAGCCTTCAAAACCGTGAGATATAAATGCTTGTTTTTTAAGCATCCACTCTAATAATCTGTCATAGCAGCCCAAACTGACTATCACTCTAATCTCTGTCAAATTACAGAATATTAGTCTCATTTCCAAGCCTCTTATCCCCCATCTCAATCCATACCCCCATTGGCAAGCACCATTAGGATTTTTCTCACCTTACGTTAATTGTGGTTATCTAGAACTTTGTATAAATAGAATTGTATAGTATGCACTCTTTTGCAAAGGCTTCTTTTATTCACTGTGCTTTTAAAATTCATCAATGTTGCTTCAATAGCTCTTTTTTTCCTCTCAGATAAGCAGTAGTATTCCACTGTGGGTTTATACCTATATATTTATCCACTGAAAGACCTGTTTTTTTTTTTTTTTTTTTTTTTGCTATTATGAATTACTTTTTTTTTTTTCTATTACTGGGGTTTGAACTCAGGGCCTTACGCTTGCTAGACAGGTGCTCTACAACTTGAGCCACTGTGCCAGCCCTTTTTTCTTTTTGCTATTATGAATAAAGCTGTGCAAGTCTTTTTGTGATTTTCATTTATCTTAGTAATGCCCAGAATTGGTACTGTAAGGGCATCATATAATATATGCTTAATTTTATAACAACCTGCTAAAACTTTTCCAATAGGATTATTCTACTTTACACTCCTATAACCATGCATGAGAGTTCTGGATATCTATACTTTTGCACAGACTTGGTGTGGTCAGATTTTTAAACTTTAATTATTCTTTTGTGGGGGACTGCAGTACCTGGTTTTAGACTTAGGGTCTCACACTTGCTAGGCAGGTGCTCTATCACTTGTGCCACATTGTCAGCCCTTTTTGCTTTAGGTTATTTTTCATATAGGGTCTTGCTTTTTGCCTGGGCTGGCCTGGAACAGTGTGTGAGCTCCTGATCTCTACCTCCAGTGTAGCTGAGATTACAGGCATGAGCTACCATGCCTGGCTATTTTTAACCATTCTCACGAAAGTGTGGTGGTATCTCGCAGTGTGATATGATGAAATTTCACTGCCATTCTGTTCAAATTATTTTTCTAATTTCCCTTGTGATTTCTTTTTGACCTATCGATTATTTTAGAAATATACTGTTTAATACATTCCTCCACAGTTGGGAATTTTCCAGTTATCTGGTTTTCTAAGTTAACAGTGGTCAGAAAAGCAATGTATGATTTGAGTATTTTAAGACTTTGTTTTTTAGTTTTCGCTTCACAGCAAAACTGAGGAACATACAGAGGACTTCCAGATACTCCCTACCCTGACACATTATCAACAGCTTCCACCAGAATGGTATGTTTCAACTGATGACCCTGCACTGACACATCATAATCAGTTAAGAGACCACAGTTTACACTAGGTTTTTTTCTTGGCATATATCCCATGGGTTTGGACAAATTTACAACGACATGTATCTATGAGAGGACAAGTCTCTGAATGGCCTTGACTGATCCAGTTCTTCTACCTCATGCTTACAATTCTCACGCAGAATGCAACCTCCTGAGATAAGGTGTAAATGTCTAAAACAACCTGAGATCTGTCCTCACCTCTCCCAGTATGGAATGTCCTATACTTTAGAGCACTGAGCCCAGTTGTCTGATATAAAACTTAGAGTTCTTTCTAGGTCTCTCAGCTATGGTGCCAAGTGGGCACATGAAGATGACACTCTACCCACTCTGGGAAGCTTTCCTTTGTCTTAGGTGGCCTACTCACTGGATCTTAGGCTTTTATTTCTCCTCACGGTAATAAGTTTGCTTTGCATGACACATTAAGTTTTCTGCTTCATCATCTGACAAATGATTCACTTGGGAACCCATGCTGTAGCCACTATGATAATATGCACACTATGTTCAGTGCCCTAAAAATCTTGTGCTCCAAATCATCTTTCCCTTCCCCCAATTCTGAAAATCACTGATTTTTTAATAATCTTCACAGTTTTGCCTTTTCTAAAAGGTCATATAGTTGGAATCATAACAGTACACACCTTTTCATATTGCTTTCTTTCAGTTTGTAATATGCATTTATTTTTTCCATGTGTTTCCATGGTTAGATAACTGATTTTCTGCACTGACTATTCTGGGTACATCACAATTATTTACCTAAGGAAAAGTACCTTGGTTAAGTTTAAGTTTTGACAATCATGAATAAAACTGCTAAAAACCTCCAGGTACAGGCTCTTACATGGACATAATTTTCAATTCCTCTGGAGTAATACCAAGAAGCACAAGCTAGATAGTATGGTCAAATGTTTACTCTTCTAAGAATCCACCAAATTGTATTTCAAAGGGGCTGGCTGCACAATTTTGCATCCTTACAGAATCTTTTTATATTTGTACAGAACTATTTTATGACCTAGCATATGTTCTAACTTGGTGAAGTTACCACAGGCACTTAAAAGAATGGGGGTGGCCAATTTACTGAGCAATTAAGTCAATGTGCTGATGTGTTACTCAGATCTTCTATGTGTTTACTGAATTACTTTTCTAATTCTATCAATTGCTGTTTTTTCCTAATTTTATCAATCATTAAAATCTCCTATTTGTTTGTAGATCTATCTTTTTCCTAATTTTTGTTTCATGTATTTTGAAACTCAGCATGCAAATTTATGGCTGTTATGCCTTGCCTTCCTGATGAATTGACCCTTTATTACTATGAAATGTCTCTTTTTATGTCTAGGAATTTCCAATGTTAAGGTCTACATTATTTAATATCAAAAACCTTATACTGAATTCTGACAGTGCCTTATGGTTTGCATTTCCATCTACTTATCTGCAACCTATAAATTTCTATATGTAAAAGCACAAGCATGTCATTAGCATATAGCTAAATCTTGGTTTAGTTTCTTTTTTAATTTTTTTGAGACAGGGTCTCATGTTATAGTCCAGTCTGGCCTCAAACTCACACTACTTCTGCCTCAACCTCCCAATTGCTGGGTTTCAGGCATGTACAATCAGACCTGGCTTATTTGCTTTTTTTATAATGCACTCTGATGTGTTCTTTAAGGGAAAAATTTAAATATAAAAGTTACATAAAACTTAACATTTTGTAAGTTATATAGCATGTCACAAAATATGTAAAACTTATAACGTGGTTGTATTTAGTTCTCTGTGTGTATTTGTGTAGCTCAACTGTTGTTTTTTTCACTTCCTCTTTTCCCACCTTCTTTGGATTAATTCTGAATTTCAGTGCTATACTAATAGCACTGAAATAATCTTGTTGTGTATTCATGTTACAGGGATGGGCACTACTTTTTATGTAGGTTTTGTTCACATATGCAATGGTATGACTATGGTTTTCATTCATTGTCAAAGTAAAACACTGGAGTTTGTTAATACTTCTTTCACAGTATTACTGACTGCAAGATGTGTTGGCTATGAAGCTAAGAAAAAGCTCTTCCAAAGTGCAGAGGTCTGTACATTATATCCCTTTTCTTACCCTGATGATGGAACATAACCAGGGTACCTGAGTAACAAATGTAACCTCAGGAGTAACTGAGTACACTGTGCCCAGTGAGATGTTAAAACTCAGTGCTTGAGCTGGAAGTGTGGCTCGAGAGGTAGAGCGCCTGCTTTGCAAGCAAGAAGCCCTGAGTTTAAACCCTAATCCAGCCCCCACCCCAAAAAGCTCCCAGTGCTTCTTAAACCTCAGTATCTAAATGTAAATGTCTAACTCAGAGAACTTTGCATATTGATTCAGGAGAGAACCTGCATTTTAAACACATTTTCCATATATTTTACTGTAAGTGGTCACTCATACTGTCATTCTGTACTAAAGGTGGTCATACGCATTATGTATACCTTGTCACATTGTACTGTAAGTGGTCATACACCTTGTGTATATCTTGTCTTAGTTTTAAGACTAACGTACTGGGATACATTTGACTATTCTTCATCTCTTGGATTTTAGTCCATGTGGTAGTTCCTTAGAGGCCTAGAGTGACCTATCCAAGGTAATCTTGTCCTTATCTCACTCTTCTTTTTCACACTTTATCTGCTGCATAGTGTTTATATTAACTATATCTATCTATTTTCCAACTCTCTATTCTGTAGATTTCTTTACCAGACCATAAACCCCAAGAAGGTACGTCATGCCAAGCCTGGCTTATTTATTTACAAACCTAGTAAAGTGTTAAACACTTTAGATTCTCAAAAAATAAAGAATGATTCGTTCTAAAGATCACATATTGGTGAGCTCATCAGTCATGAATGTTCATGATATTCTCTGCGAAACAGTACGTCAAATAGCACGGATACAATGTAATCATGTCACTCGTTCCTAGAGTACACCAAATGACGTTCTCAATTTCGGCGACATTCCCATGACTGACAGCGGAAGAAGGCCATTTTTAGAGAGTGGAGAGATTATGCTAAATTAGGTCGGTCGTACTATCATATTGCTTATCAGCCTCATTTTGACCAACAACGTGATATACATTCATAAGGCATGTACAGTAAGACGAGACATGACCCAAAAATAGACCGCAGAAAACAAACGAAGACAAATCTACCTTTACTTCCTCATTTACCTACTTTAGCGGAATCGCACAAAGCCGCAGGGGGCTCTGGCTGTGAACGTGAATAGCTTGAGGTCGGGCTGGTGGGGTGCGGGGGACATTCCTGGGGACTTAGTAAAGCGAGAACAGGGCGGAAGCCACACTCTAACTGCTGGAGAAAGAAAACTCCACGCCAGAAATCCTCACCCAGCCCTGGGCACGTCTCTTCCAGGAAGCGAAGCCGAGACACTCGTCACTCTGCGCCTGCGCACTGTCGACTACAGGTAAAGACCCAATTGGAAGGCAGGGTGGGCGGGCCGTGGTCAGTCTCGGCTTCCGGTTCCGACGGGCTTCTAACTGCTTCAGTGCTACGTGTCTCTGGCGTTGGGAGTAGGAACTCAGCGGGCAGGTAAGTGTTGACTACCCGAGGGCTGGCAGGAGCGAGCCGGGCCTTTGTGACTCACGGAGGTAGAGGGCGCGGGCGAGTCGGCGGAGCTCTCGCGGGGGGGACGTGCGGTCTAGACCTAGGCCGAGTCCGGCCACTTGCACTCCTTCCCCACACCGCCGCAGGTGGAAGCGAAGAACCAGGGGCCGCGAGCTCCCGAGGAGTGGAGGAGGGGAAGCGATGGCCGTGGTCCCTCAGGGCCTAGATTCTTGGGTCAGGGCTCGGCTTCTGCTCATACTCTGTCGTCCCTCCGTGCCAACCCTTTAATTTAGGGCTTCCAGTGTCGTCGGACATAGTGGCCTCCCCCGTGACCCCACGGGGCTGGTGGTGCGTGTTTGGAGCCTGTTCTGTAAGAGTAGTTTAGTACTTGGACTTGCCGTGGTGTCAGGTGGGAGAGTTGGGTTGGATTCTATATCAGGAAATCTAGTAGGTTCTTGGATCCTTTCCTCTGACACTGTTTGCAGCGTTCTGTCTAGTGTGCATTTAAGACCATTGGATTTCAAGAAAAAATTTCAATGAAATACCGAGAAAACAGGCATAACTCTATTCTTGACCCAGAAGGTTTACAGAATTCCCCAGCGTTCCTTAGCTGTTTCACGTAAATTGTTTCATTTAATTCTCCCCTGTCCACCCTACAGGAGGAGGCCAGAACTTGATTAGAGAGTGTTAGTGTTTTGAGGCCAGGGATTTGAACCACCATCAGGTTGCCATTCTAAGCACTGCACATAAAGCACAAATGCCCTGGCCTCATTAGCTATTAAGGTAGTTAGCTCAAAAGAACATATATGATAAACTGTATAGCCTTGTTTCCATAAAAGATGTATTCACACCTAAAAGGATCTGGATCTTGCTTTAGATTTATGTGGTTTTGAAAAATTCATGTCTATCCATACTACACAATGTACTTTACTCTTCCCTAAACGTATTGTATAGGAATGTTTGATAACAATCTCATTGAAATTCACGTTTGCCTCCATTTTAGGCTCTTGCAGCACCGTAGTTGGCATTCGCTGCACTAGACAAGCGGTTTCTGAATAGTTTAAAATAAAATACAGAAAGTAGTTGTTGAATCCCAACATTGTTGGGAATGAGTGTGTTGTCAGCTGGATAACCTTGTAATACAGATAAACATTATATTGAGTATGCAGTCCTTTGTAAATGAGGATAACATGGGTAGAGCTTTTCTTACTGTCTTTCATCTGATGTTTTCCTGGAATTTACAAATACAGTGTAAATTTAGGCTGTGTAATCCGCCTTTTTAGTTTTTATTTTATGAGATGGAATTGATCCCTGTCAGGCATGAATTCTTGACTGGACTCATTTACATCTTTATATAACTCAGCAAGACCTTATTATTATATGATAAGTAATGCTAGTGAGTATTTTGGTTTCTTTCTTTTCCTTTTTTGTTTTTTTAAAGCAGGAAATCATGGATCAAGTTATGCAGTTTGTTGAGCCGAGTCGGCAGTTTGTGAAGGATTCAATTCGGCTGGTTAAAAGATGCACCAAACCTGATAGAAAAGGTAATAGCTTTAATATTAAAAAAAAAATTAACTTTTTCCAAATCTTGTATTTAACATCTTCCTGATTAATAACCATTGCAGGGTTGGGATGTATCTCAGTGGTAGAGTGCTTGCACCACCACCATTGCCACCACCCCCATACACACAAAGTAGTGATAGCTACCATTGCATTACTTTTATCAACATTTTTATTGATTTATTTTGTGCTTTTGCTTTCGAGCAATGCCACTTATATTCTGTACAGTGCTGTCTAAATTTTTCTGTTTTATGTATTTTCAAATTATTTCAGCATTTTTTCCCATGTTAGACTTAAGTTATCATATTTATGACTTTAGAGTTTTTAGTATCTTCCACATTACCATTTTGGAAAAACCTTTGGAGTCATCCCTGCTCTTTCCTCACTCCAGCGCACAAATTTTAATGTAAAATGAACAATATTGTTGGTGCCAATCTAGAAAAGTTTATTATTTATCATCTTTTGTGGATCTGCCTTTATTTATTGACCAGATTAGAATATAATACACAAGATAACTACACATAATTTATAAGTAAATGTAATAATAGATGAATAGTCTTATGAAGCTTAGAAGCTTATCAGAGAAGACTCTCATAAAACAAATAATTATATTTTAAAATTACTGTCTTGGTAAGTATTAGGGAAGATTAATAGAAGATCTGATAGCACCTAATAGGCAGACTGACCAAGTCAGAAGGCAGGAAAAGCTTCCCTGAGGAAACAGCTGAAATCAAAATATGCCAGAGTTAAAACCCTTTTTATAAAATGGCCCAATTTTGATTTTTTTATGTTGAATTTTTTTTTTAACTTCATCTTGGTACTAAACAAACTAAATCAATCCTTTGTAGTATTCCACTAAAGTTAGGATTCTGCTTTTATACCCAATGTTATAATAAAATAATTTCAGTGTATTCCATCCTCCACCTTTTTTCTTCTGTTTTTTAGTATTTTCATCATTTGTTGAGAACAGCAGATATTTTTAGTGCTTGTTGATGAATTCACTAGCAGATGCGCATTTTCATTTCTGTGTTTCCTTTAAATGTGTGTGATAGAAAATTAAAAACCTGTCAGACACTCATTGTTTACTATTATTAGTTTTACTTTTTGTTTTTAAATTACATAGCTACTAACTAGACAGGGGTAGTATACACCAGTAAGTTTATTTATGTTACTGATAGTTTTTTCCCCATATTTTGACAGTACAAAAAGTTAATGTGAATTTTGTGTCTCTAAATTCAGAATTCCAGAAGATTGCCATGGCAACAGCAATAGGATTTGCCATAATGGGATTCATTGGCTTCTTTGTAAAATTGATCCATATCCCTATTAATAACATCATTGTGTAAGTAAACTTTATGAAATAGATTTCCTTTATGAAATCTAGAAATGAATGAAAATGGAAACTAAGTTGACAGTCTGCTATTTCATTAATGCGCAGACATGTTTTTTGATATTTAATGCTGTTAGAGTCTACTGGTAAGATAATAGTTCTTTCAAAGTATTTTTAAATCTTATGCTGTATAGCTAGCAATTTTGTGAGCCAGGTACTACTTTTTTAAATAAAATATTACTAAAGGTACTCAGTATGTCAGGAAGTATTCATTGACAGAGCCATTATTCAAGTACAAGTCCTCTTTATGCTATAATTTGATTTTTAAATGTAGAAGAAATGCTCTCATCCGAAAATCACTATTTTGATAGAGTTTTAATTCTGAGCCTGATTGCCTAGCTTCACAACTCAAATTGTCATAGCCTTGAGCCATTTACTTCTTTACCCAGTTTATCCCATGAGCTTAATAATTTTTATTTGGGTTATAGTAAAGATTCATGACTTAAGTCCTGTAATGCCCAGAGAAAACCATATTAGTTAAGAACTTAGGTGGAAGTTGTAATGTTGTAATGAACCACTAGTATTAATGGTAGGGTGTCATAATCTTTATATTATTATATTAGAGAGAGAGAGAGAAGGCTGAGAAATACTGAGACCAACAGTGCTTTTGCTTTCTAAATTTATTACAAGTCATCGGGACACCTTACGGCACTAAACAGTTAATCAATTTTAGGTGATTGAGGACTTGGGATGAGTTTCAGTACTTTATGATTTTCTATTCATTTACTCTCATCCTCATCTACCATTTGGAGGTAAATAATACCTATCTTATTTAATGGAATGGTGAGGTTTGAAGCAGTTATTTCGAAAAGTTTTCTAAACTATAAATGTGTTAAGTACTAGGTATTTTATTATCTATACTGGTGGAGGTTGTCTTTTAAATGACAAGTTACTGCATGCATATTGTCAGGTGGATTTTTTAAGTAGGTTACCATAGTTATTAAACAGAAGTGCCAGAAAGTAACATTCAGGATCATGAAGAGTTAGAGCTGGAAGGAACCAAGTCACTCAGATCTCTCTCTGTTCTTTTATAAAGTGTAATACAGTCAATATTCAAGTCTTCAAGTCAGTGTTATATGCTCTTGTTCCCATTTCATGTTCAGACAGTTTAATTAATATTGATAAAACATTTTGTGAGGAAAGCTACAGAAAATATACCCTTTGCATGATATGCTGTGATAGCTATAAAACTGAAAGAGGTTTTTTTGTGCTTGAAAGAGCATTAAAAAAAAGGCATAAATTGCTGCTTGAAGTATAACCACAGATTTTTCTTGCATTACATTGAATTATCACATTTTTTCCCTTACGATTTTCTTCTATTCTTTTTAAGTAGTAATTTTTAAAAATAATAATAGCAGTCAAAATTAATGCCCATTGTATTATAATTTAAAGGAGTGAGTCATTTGCTGGTGTTTTAGTTACAGTAACAATTTAATAATAAATAATTAAAATACTTAGCAATAAAATTTATATTCAGAGTTATTTTATAATTTTCATTTGGGAATGGAATTATTTCTGTTTATTTAGCATCACAGTACTAAAATGTATATATGATAATACAATTTTAATGATTTAAGCTTTAAAAATTTAGACAGTCTTCTGTAGAAAAGCTTGCTTTGTTTTCATTATGGTTAAGCCAGTTTTTTGAATGATTATGGGACAATGATTGAGAAGCATTGTGCTGGTGTGTAGTCTTTATTTTCATCTGGTTTGTTGCCTGTGAATCAAATTGGAAAATTTCTCAACCAACTATCCTATGATGTATTTAATATCTTTTGTCATGTTCAGAAAGACAATATGCTTGACTATTCCAAAATGGCACTTCCCAAAGGAACTTTGTGAGTTTAAAATACACCTGCTTCAGAAGCACATCATCATGAAGGACCTTTATTTTAGTTCCAGGATTTTAAAGTTGACTATGCCTTTCTTTTATGCTGTCTTGATGGAAAGTTAGGTGTGGTTCTCAGATAATTGATTTTGATTCCATAAAATTGAAGCATACTGCATTTCAAACGGGTATCATCATTAAAATCTCTGTGCTCAAAAATGACTGTTTTTCTTTCTTTTACAGGGGTGGCTGAATACATTTTTGAAGATCTTCATCTTTGGGATTAGTGAACAAGTGAGGGTTTGAGAAGCTTATGAAGTAAAAACTTGTGTTTTGGGGTACTTTATGGGGTTTTTCACCTTCCCTTCCAAAATGTTTTTTATTTCTAAATTAAAATAACTTCAAGCTTAAAAAATATTTCACCTTTTTTCCACCAGATATTTATCAAATTTTAAGGATAGAAAAGTGGTGTATTCTTTTTTTTTCCCTCTTTTTTTTTTTCTTTTAGTATTTTGGTTTATAGGAGAAATTAAGAGATCTGATAAAATACTGTGTATTTAGAGGACTTTTCTGTCTTAGTCTGTCCTGCTATAAAAAAATGCTAGAAACTGGGTAACTTACAAATAATAGAGACTTTATTTTTCACAGTTCTCACAATGAGTTTTGGAGGGACATATTTAAATCATAGCCCCTACTATCACATAAGTGTTTCCTTGTGATGGAAACACAAGAAGTAAAGGAAGGTAGATAGTGAGCGCCTATTAGAGTTTGAGGGTATCAGTTTTGTCCTTACTTACTTAAAATAGAAAAAGTAGCATACAAAAGTTCAGGAGCTACTTGAAACATTCCTGAAAATCATGGTTAATACTTGGAAGTGATATTCTTTGATCCTTCAGTATCATGAGTTGTCCTTGTCCCTCAAATTCATTAGGGCTGGGAGCCTTTCCTGGAGGCTAATTCTTTAGCAGCTTTTCAATACCTTCTACACAGCTGGTTTAGTCCAGTATTTTTCCAGTTTTCAGGATAATTTTGGGAACTTATTTATAATTGGAAAAGTGGTGGGTTTTTTTGTTTTGTTTTTATTTTTGTTTTTTACCTACAACTTTTAGATTCTAAAATTTATCATGTATCATTGGATCCAGGATGTCACTAAATAAAAAGTGTTCCCTTTTTTTGGCAAAAGTAGTAAGATACAATGTTTTTAATGTACCATAAAAAAGAAAGAAGACATTTGCCTACTATAATTGTAAGGCATCAACAAGTATAGAACTATTCCAAATTCACAAATGTTACAATGTATAAAAAAAGATGAAACATGATATTAGCAAAAAGTACCTAATACTAGGCTTTCCTACTGTTCTCAGTCTTGATTATATTCCTTTCTTACTCTGAAGGCATGGTGTGTTGACAAAAAAAGTAGCAGCAGTACAGCTTCATACACTCACACATACAAACACACCTATAATGATATACACACAGGCACCAGGATCAGAATGATATACAAATGGAGCCTGCAAAGAAGTACATTAAATGTCAGTATGGCTCTGTGGGGTGGAATTATGAGTAAAAATTTCTACTTTGTTTTCTAAATTTTTGTAAACAGTGATATTAAGGCATAATTCTTATGTACACCTTTAAAGTGTTTTTATAAAAACAGTAAATGGGGAAAGTGAGAAGTCTTCCCTAAGTAGTCATACTGTAATAAACATTGGCGTTCTGAATTTTATGAGGTTTCACTGGCAATTTAATCTGAAATCCAAAGGGGGCATATTCCTTTTTAGAAAAATGCTAGGTATAGCATGTCTACAATCCCAGCGCTCAGGAGACCAAGGCAGAGTTGTGAGTTTGAGGTCATCCTGAGCCACATACTGAAACCTCTGCAACCCTACAGTGTAAAAGCAAGACAGTGTTTGTTTTTTAAATGCTTTTCCATTACTTCCAATTTCTTTATTCAGTGCTCAGACTTGCCAATTTTTTTCTTTTTTTGCAGTACTGGGGTTTGACCTCACCCTCATGTTAGACAAGTGCTCTGCAACTTAAGTCACATCCCTAGTCCTTTTTGCATCAGTTTATGTTTCAGATAGGTTCTCTTCTGTCCTGGCTGACATCAAACTTCAGTCCTCCTACCTCAGCCTCCTGAGTAGCTAGGATATCTTGAGTGTGCCATCATATCCAACTTGTTTTTGAAATAGGGCGTCAATAACATTTTTGCCCAGATTGGCCTCTAATCACAGTCCTACTGTCTCTTGCCTACTGAGTAACTAGAATTATAACTGTCCCCACCAAGTTCTAAATTTTTTACAAACCTTGGTTAGTACACATTGGGACAAATGTTTGTTTTTTGGTAATTAAAGTAGCAGGTGTTTTAAGCATCTTAATTTAGTTTGTGTTGCTATTGGCGGAATACCACACACTAGGCAATTTATTTAGAAAGAAAAAAATCCAATATTCAGGTTTCAGCATCTGGCAAGGGACTGCTTGCAACAGCATCCTGTGGTGGTAGGTGAGAGAGCAAGAGGACTTGCAAGCCCTTTTGTATTGGCATTCAGGAGGATGAAGAGTTCATGACCTAAATCCCTGCCCTTGGGCCCTACCTTGCAAGTCTGTTGCTGAGTAGGTTTCCAACATGTGTTTTCTGGGGGGGCACATTCAAACCTTGGGAAGTGTCTATTGTGGTTGAGCAGTAGTGTTCCATTTTGGATCCATAGTTCAGAGACCAAAGTCTGTTTTCATCATAGCAGTAACAGATAATCTGCTTTTGAAGTGTTGGCGGTGTTTGCCTCTTGAACGGTGTCCTTGGAAATAAAATTTGAATGAAACTTTGGCTGATTCTAATCTTAAACCTAATTCTATATCCTATAGATAGATTTTTATCTACTTAAAGGCTGAAAGTGTGTGTATGTGTCTGTATATATGCATGCTCATTAGTATTTGTGTTTACACATGTGCCTCTGCACATGTACATACATGCACATATACACTGCTTATATTAAGTAACTATAGTGAAAAATATTCTGTGACAGATTTGCTTAGCTGATAATTTTGTTGTAAGATAAAATGAATGTAGATTTTCTTGACATAGAATTATAGTTATGTATTTATGACACATTTGGGTTGATGGGTTGGCCATGAGTAGATAAGTTATTACAGAAGTATTTTGTATCTATACATGTAAGTAATATGAGGGCTGATGATAAAATAACCTTCATAAATAATAGTTTAATTTCTTAAATAGGAAAGAATTTTTTTTTTTTCTTTTTGCGGTACTGGGGCTTGAACTCAGGGCCTACACCTTGAGCCACTCAACCAGCCCTTTTTGTTTTGTGATGGGTTTTTTTCGAGTTAGGATTTCATGGATTATTTGCCTGGGCTGGCTTTGAACTGTGATCCTCCTGATCTCCGTCTCTTGAGTAGGTAGGATTACAGGTGTGAGCCACTGATGCCCAGCCTAGATTTTTTAAGTTAACATACTCATAATACGTATAAGAAGTGGTAAGTTTGTGTTCCAAACACTTGAGGAAATTTCTTAAACCTTGTTTGTTTTCTAAGTACCTATAGCAAAATAGCAATCCCTTTTATGGCACTTCTGCATTTCTAGGGACTCCTACACTTTAACAACAAAAAAGGCAACACAAAGTTACACCAAAGCGGAAGGCAGTAATAGTACAGACAGTGGCAGAGCCTTGACTGAGGGCTCCAGGAAGTAAAGGCTGGTTCCTACTTCAGTAGCTTCGTTAACTCCTGCATTGCCTTATCTCAAGTCTGTGCTCTGAGTATCTGTCTCCCATTTCTTAAGAAAGCTTCTGCTTGTTGGAAAAGGTACTTAATTTAACCTGAGTGTACATGGCACCGTTGTGTTTTATTCTTAAAATTGTAACCATCTATCAGAAAACTTCTGCTTAAAATGAGTTGAGTTGTACCTGTAAGTTACATGCAGATATGACTTTGTAGTCTAGAAAAAGTTGAGATTTTCCTGCTTCTTGGATGCAATTATCTCGTGTTGAAACACTGAAGAGCTTGTTTTGCCTATAGCTTCTACCATAGTGTATATGTATTTCCCTTAAATTTTTGAGTTTCCTATAGACCTTTCTTATTTTTTAAGTTCATTCAATTGCTTTTAGCAATATTTTGTGGGGTTTTCTTTAGGAGTCTTCTTACACTCCTAAAATGGCTCCTGGAATGTCTTGATTCCATTATTTGCATTTTCGTAAAATAAAACAGACAATTCATTAATTATAATTTAATCTAAAAGTATTTGCATTCTTCTCTCAACCAACCCCATAAACCCCTGCCCAAATCCTTAAATGATTGTTACTTTTTTTTAAGGTTCTCAGGAAACTTGCTTTTTTTTTTTTTTTTTGCAGTACCATGGCTTGAACTCAGGGCCTGGGGCTTTATAAGCAGGCGCTCTACCACTTGAGCTACCACTTCTTCAGCCCTACTTGTTGACTTTTTTTTTTTTAATAAACTTTATTTTGTAGAGTACTTTAAGGTTCACAGCTAAGCTGAGATTTTCATATACCTCTTGTCCCCACACATGAATAGCATCTTCTATTGTTAACATTCCCCACCAGAGTGGTACATTTGCTACCATTGATGAGCCTGCTTGGACACACCATTGTCATCCAAAGTCCATAATTTACATTAGGGTTCCCTCTTAGTGTGCAAACAAAATGGATTTTGATAAATGTACAGTGACATGCATCTACCATAGTAGTACTTCACAGAATAGTTGCACTGCCCTAAAAATTCTCTTATGTTCTGCCTGTTTGTCCCATCTTCTCCCTTAATCCTGGGAACCACTGATCTTTACTGCCTCCACAGTTCTACTTTTTCAGGAATGTCATATAGGTGTAATCATCCAGTGGATAGCCTTTTCAGATCAGCTCCTGTCACTCAGTTGTATGTAAGTTTTTCACATATCTTTTCATGACTTGCCTTCTTTTTTTTTCTTTTAAATGGGTCTTCCATGTGGCCCAGTCTGCTCTGAACTCTAGGATGACGTGATCCTGTTACCAGAAAGTTTAGCACTATTGTATACCTTGGTTCTTGTGTCTGGCGAGAGAATAATTCTGGTGAAAATGATAATAAAGTTTATTAGGAAAGGAATTTAGTAAAAAAGGATTAAAAATGGGGAGAAATGGGAGAAACATTTCCTGCTCCCCATGTAGCAAGTGGGAGTAAAGACTCAAAATGATGGTCCTCACTTCTTAGTCTTATACTTTGCTAGCTGGAGAAATACAATGGTCATTAAGATATTGGATCTGGGTGACTAAGACAGGTGCTAAAATGGGGAGGTGTCATCTAGGCACACCCAAATCACAAGAGACAAAAGGTGTGCATTAGGACTTTCATTTACTAGACATGGCTTTCATTGTATTTCTCAGTTAATCCTCACAGTAACTGTATTTCATAAATAATGTAGATATTATAATCTTCAAAATATACCCA